CTTCTGTGTATTCTTGCCACCTCTTCTTAATATCTTCTGCTTCTGTTAGGTCCATACCATTTCTGTCCTTTATCGAACCCATCTTTGCCTGAAATGTTCCCTTGATATCTCTACTTTTCTTGAAGAGATCTCTAGTCTTTCCCATTCTGTTGTTTTCCTCTATTTCTTTGCACTGATTGCTGAGGAAGGCTTTCTTATCTCTCCTTGCTATTCTTTGGAACTCTGCATTCAAATGGGAGTATCTTTCCTTTTCTCCTTTGCTTTTCGCTTCTCTTCTTTTCACAGCTATTTGTAAGGCCTCCTCAGACAACCATTTGCCTTTTTGCATTTCCCACACCTCTATCAACCACTAATTCTTAAGAACAGCTTGTCCTGGGAACCATTTTAAGTATGAGTTCCTGTCTTTTATTGTTGGCCTCTGATGCTGTGCTGCTTACCACCTTTGTATGTTCCCAGGGCTGTGCATTCAGAAAACATTTTCATGGCTCCCACTGGAAATTCTTTTTTTCCTTCCTGAAGACTGCCTTGGTCTTAAATCATTATACGGTATATTGGTATAAACATTTTTATCATTTGGCAAAAACTTTGGAAGAGTATGTGTGCATGCATGCTCAGTCACTTCAGTTGTGTCCAACTCTTTGCGACCCTAAGGACCCACCAGGTTCCTCTGTCCATGGGATTCTTCAGGCAAGAATACTGGAATGGGCAGCCATGCCCTCCTCGGGGGGACCTTCTCGACCCAAGGATCGAACCATGTTTCTCCTGCATTGGCAGAGGGGTTCCTTACTCACTAGTGCCACATTCAGCATTTAAAAATCTTTCAGAAATTGAAATGAAGTTTAAATGACTCAAATTTAAACAGCTTTTTTTTGGTTCAAAAATGGGAAATGACTGATGATGGAGTAGTTTGGGCTCTGAAGAGAAATAGAGACGATGGAACCATTTCATCTTAGCATGCCTCTGCTCTGTAGTGTTTTGATCATCTTCATTTATGAGCATGCATTTTCCCCTTTGAATAAACAAGCATTAAGAAGAACTGTTCAGTATATTAATTTGGCTAGTACATTTGTGTATTCACAAAGGTTTTATTTCTCCCTAAGCTTGCTTGAGAGAGCATCTATGATAAGTTTTCTTTATAGGAAACATTTCAAGATGAGCAGTATTTAAAAACTATATATATATTAATTTATATGTTTTTTATGACTTTAATTATGTCAATTATCAATAGTTTTTTCTTTAGGACTTGTACTCTATCTTTGAAACGAGAGGGTATTCTTTTGGAAATAAATTTAGTTTCACTTTGGGTATAGCAGATATTTTAAAATGTCTTAATTTTTATAGACATCTTTCTGTTTTATGTTGACAGCTCTTTGACATTCACACCAGTGGCCTGTTGGCAGAAATCCACACGGGCCATCATAGCACTGTCCAGTACTGTGACTTCTCCCCCCACAACCATTTGGCAGTGGTGGCTTTGTCCCAGTACTGTGTGGAGGTGAGAAGTTGAATTTACGCTGTGAAGTCTGGGTCTCCAGAGGTACAAGAATGACAAAGAATGGGTTGCTTAAACCATTGACTGCTGAGAATGTTTGCTTGAGAAATCATAAGAGTGTTTTTTTCATAGCATAATGCCTTAAAAGCTATCCAAATAGCTTTAGGATATTAAGCCACATTGACAGCTTCAGTACTTTAGCAGTGATTGAAGACTTGGCTTGACCAGTATGACAGAGAATGACAGGCAGTATCATTCACTAAGCATTTACTGAATGGTCAGTATGTGCCAAGGTCTGGGGATAACAGTGGAATGACCACTGGCTTCCTAAGCAGGAACATGGCATCTCTTAAATGTGGGCATAGACTCTTCTGTAAAAGAGATGATGAGAAGTGAGTCCAGTTCAGATTTCTTAGATCACTGAGAAAGGTAAGATGGAAGTTAAATTTAAAATTGGTTAATCTAGGATTTTCATTGCTAAGTACTAATGAATAAAATGATTTTTCATTTGTAATTTTCCCCTTAACCTGATAGATTTTATTGTAACCAGTGTCTGTATCTAGAAGAATTCTACTCAGATGAGCTGCTAATATTAATTTTTTCAAAAGCAGTGAGTTTCCTGATTTTTTTTCCTCCAAAGATAGATTAGTTTTTCCAAGCTTTGTTACTGCTCATTGCTTAAGTGATTCTTACCACCAAGTAATGGAAGCCCTTGTACTTGCAGCCCAAGAAGATAGGTATGGGCCTTTATTTGGAAAACAGGGAAGTTCATTTGGTTCACAGGCTCCCTTCGAAGGAAACTTGACTGTGGCAAGCATTTCTTCAGTGTTCTGTGCCTGTCGCAGCGGTTTTCCGTGGGTTTCCCACCTTGCCCTGTTATATGGAGGTGCGGCTGGAGCGTGGCTGAGCGTAGTCCTCCAGCGTGCAGATGCAGATTAAGATGGAAGTGAGTGGCTGAGCTCTGTACGCTCCTCCTCATTCTGAGTGCAGCGGTGCAGCTGACACCGAAGACCTTCCCAGTGAGAATCTTCCCCTTGAGTGTGAATGGGCTCCAGTCCTCTTTGCAGCAGTGGTTAGGAGGAGGTGCTGTGGGCTCTGTTCTCTTCAGCAGAGACCTTGAATTGAAAGATTCAGAGCTTCTAGGAGCTCTTGCACCTTACCTGTAGATCCTCAAGGTAGGTGTGATTAGAAGTTTCCTCTTCCTGGATGTTAGGAGTGAAGGAGCAACTCTTCTTTTGCCCTTCCCATCACTTCTAAAATCCTTACCCTCTGTTATTCTTAAAAAATCTCCAAGGAGCATTGTCTGTCTTTTTTGAAATGTAGGCACTTACTTGGTTTTGGAGGCTGTGAATGACAGAAATGATGAGAGAGAGCAAGGGAAGAGAGGAAGGATTTTCAAGTGAGATATTTCAGTTGTGGAACCCTTTTCATTTCTGGCCTTTAGCTCTGTATGTCTCAGCTTGCACTCTTGAGATAAGGCAGAGAAAATTTCCTGTAACTAATTTGTAATTATAGAACTCACTGATTGAAAACCACTGGGCATGTGATGAAGTACTTGTTCTGTCCATGCTAGTTCTAAAATCATAAACTAGGGTCTGTAATTCAGAGTGTAATGAGAGGAATTGAGGCACATATGGTACTTCATTAGACTGGAATATATTTGAGTAATTTGCAGCAAAACTCAGGGCAAAAAGCAGCCAGGCTGGAGACAGACATTGACAATTTGTAACAAGCATGAATAACAGGAGACAAGTATACATGTGCAGTAGTACATTCATTTGTTGTAGGGTTTTGCAGTCATTTGAAATGAAGATTAGATGACAGTGGAGAATAGTCAAGAGTATGAAAGCCACTTAATGCTCATCTTGTTATTTTTTAGATTGATTTTTAAAAATAGGTAAAATGTTTATATGATTCCAAATCACAGCTTTACAATAAGTTTTATTCAGGGAAGTCTGACTCTCATCCCTATTCCTTCCACTCTGGTCCCACCTTCTGAAGGTAATCATTTTTGTCTTAGTGTCCTTTTTGCATGTATAAGCAGATATCTATATGTATATTATAGTCATATATATGCATCTATTATGTATATCACACTGTATCTAATACTATACTCACAGGTTTATTTTTCATCTTTTAGTATAGTTTTTATATATATAGTATTTATAAGTATATATATACACACACACACTTCTGCAAAAACATATATACTATTCTTTGCAACATATGCCATAGACTAGTCATTGTCAGAGTGTTTTTCTCATTACTTTTTTTAACGGTTGCATATTATCCCATTTTGTGATTAATGAGGTTTATTTAGTCAGTTCCCTACTGATGGTCATTTGGGATTTTGCTGTTAAAAACAATTGATGCAGTGGATAATCCTAACAAGTTATTTTGTAATTTTTGCTAATGTGTTTTTTGGCTATATTCATAGAGGTGGAATTGCTGGATCATTCTTGCTGTTTTTAATATTCTTGATATATTCAAAATGCTTATGAATGTGATTTCCTACATGTTGTGTTTGTTCTGCAGTTGTGGAGTATGGACTCACGCTTAAAAGTAGCTGATTGCAGAGGACATTTAAGTTGGGTCCATTGTGTGATGTTTTCTACTGATGGATCATCATTTTTGACATCTTCTGATGACCAGACAATCAGGGTGAGAAATACTGAGATTTTCATTTTAAACATTTAATGATGGTAAGCTTAATTTCCTACCAATTAAGAAATTGATGGGCACTATTGGGGGGAAGTAAAACAGAAACTGCTGGATTCACATTTATCCTTGAAAAGTGCTGGTATATGGACTACAGCAGTCACATTCGTTCAGTACATGTACATTGAGTGTTACCATGGCCCAGGTGCTGGAAAAATCCAGTGATAAAACTATACTTTGGTTAATTTAAATATGTTTCATCAGAATAACTTTTGACTCCCTACCTTAAATTCCCATATCCGATTACTGGCCAATACTATTAGGTTCTTTCACTGCTCCTTTCCCTGGGTCCTGGTGTGCACAAGGTTTTGTTTGTACCCTCCAAGCATCTCTGGCAGGTAGGAGGTTTGAATGGATTCTACCTTTCCATATTCTGTCATTTATTTCTACTTTTCCATTTCAAGTTTAGGTACTCATTACCTGTTGTCTTTCTTATATTAATCTCTTTGCAAGTCTTTTCTTTCTTGGTTTTGTGCATATTGCTTGTGAGACGTTTTCCTCATGTAAAATGCAGACGTGTCATTTTTGCTCAAAAAGATGGTGACTGCCTTGCCTACCATTTGGAGTAAATAAATTGCTGTTAAAATTCTCTATGGTTAAGGCTATTCTGTACCAGTCTGCCTTCTGATTTATTCCTTCAAGTAACCTACACTGAACTACTCACATTTCCCCAGACACTCTGTACTTCCCTGCTGATGTAATTTTGCTTCTGTGTTTCTTACGTTTGTAATACCCTGCTTCTCTGTGTCTCTCCTTGTTGAAATCCTAAGAATCCTACGAGTCCCCTCAAGCTTTCAGTAAAGTCTTTCCTAGTGTTCTGTTCAGAGGAATGTCTTTTCTCCTTCAATGCCATGTAACTCTGTGTCATTTTCTTATGGTACTTACCAAAGTCTGCCTTGGTAAGAATTTCACCTCCTCACCTCTAGTATGTCACTACACCTCCAACTTGTTCACACATCTTAAATTAAGCTCTTTGAGCCTGGAGACCCTGGCCTGTCCAAGTAGCATCTAATGCAGTCTCTTGTACAAATTGTAGTTAAAATTCATTTAGTATTTACTGTATGCCAGACATTGGGCAAAGTACTGTGAATGTGTTAATTTGCTGATTCTCACAACAGCCCTTTTTGCAGCTGAGGAAGCAGTCACAGAAAGGTTAAGTCAGTGCTATTTACAGTGTAATAAGTCTCAATAAGCTTGAGCCAGAATGTAAATCAGCACTGCTTCCTTCATTAAGAAAGTCTTATTTAAAAAAATCAGCTGTATCATAAGCATACTGTTAACAGTGTGTTTAGTGATAGAGTTGATTTACTTTCTGGTTCAGGCTCCTTATCTTGCTATCAGACAATTTGAGAAACAGCAGATTCTTATCTTTGAGTAGCACAGGGTTAAGTAATATGCCCAAAGTCACAACTTTCAGTAGAACTAGAATTCACACTAAGGCATTTTGATTCTAGCACCCATTGCTCTTAATAGTAACTGCTTCTTACTGTTCTTGTTAATAAGGTGACGCTAGTGGTAAAGAACCTGCCTGGCAGTGCAGGAGACATAAGAGCCGTGGGCTCGATCTCTGGGTCAGGAAGATCCCTTGGAGGGGGACATGGCAGTCCGCTCCAGTGTTATTGCCTGGAGGATCCCATGGACAGAAGAGCCTGGTGGGCTGTAGTCCACAGGGTCACAAAGAGTTTGACATGGCTGAGGCATCTCAGCATGCACTGTTGTTTAGTCACTCACTCGTGTCTGCCTCTTTGTGATCCCAGGGACCATAGCCCAGCCAGGCTCCTCTGTCCATGGGATTCTCCAGGCAAGAATACTGGAGTAGGTTGCCATTTCCTCCTCCAGGGGATCTTCCCAACCCAGGGATCGAACCCGTTTCTCCTGCATTGTCAGGTGGATTCTTTACCTACTAACTGTTGAATGCAGGGAAGCCCTGCTTCTTACCAGGGAAGAGCCACCAGGAAAGCGCTACTTCTTACTATAGAATGCAATTAATAAATATTTATTGTCTAATTATAATCTGATTGAAAATTTTCTAGCATAGGCGTTTGGAGTGTGAAGTATGGTTGTATACTGTTTTAAGACTAAGATTGTCTTTACCTTATTTCAGACAATGCAGTGATCCTACTATATTTTTTTTTAATCTCTTAATCAGCTCTGGGAGACAAAGAAAGTATGTAAGAACTCTGCTACAGTGTTAAAGCAAGAAATGGATGTTGTGTTTCAAGAAAATGAAGTGACGGTTCTTGCAGTTGACAATATAAGACGTCTGCAAGTGAGTATTTTCTAGAAAACAGTTGGAAAAATTGTTTTGATCAAACTCTAAATTCAAAATGGACTTCATCAGGCATAATTGTCTAGTATCTAAGAAATGCTCAGTAGATGTCAGTTGAATAAATACATGGGTTTTGAGCTGAGGCTCAGATATGCTACTACTTAGAACTAAACCTTGCTTTACCTCACCCCTCTCCTCTTGTTAACTGGAAGGCAGGGAGCAGGAACGTGAGAGAAAATGAGACGAGATATTGGAGGGGAACTGGAGTGGAGAGAGCAATGGGAGAGGAGAGGAGAGGGTGGTAGAGGGAGCAGGCGCATGGAAGGTGTGAGAGCTGGCAAGCGTGAGACGGGCTGGCAGGGGCACAGAGCTGAAGTTCTGGAGCTGCAGATCTCAGCTGGAAGTAGTAGAGGGAACAGTGACTTCACTCAGGAGACCCAGGTTCAAGTTCAAGCTTTATCGTCCGCTAGTTCTGTGATGTTGCGTGAATTGCATCACTTCTCAGAGCCTCACTTTCTTCACCTAGAAGGTCCTTTTCATTTAAAAAAATCTGTAAGCTAGTTTATAAGGGTCACAGTGGAGTCCAGATACAGGAAGCAGAGATCTGGGAATACATTGTCTATGGCATGTGGTAATTTCTCTTTGTCTGCTGTGAGGGTCAGAGTCAAGCTGTGAGACACCTCTTAAATTCAGCTTGTTCTGTATTTTACAAGTTTAACTGTTGTCTTTAATGTGTTTATAAGGAACTCCTCATGTCCTGTATTTCTGGTATGAATTGGAATGTGGAATTAAACGTGGTTTCCTCATTACTGATTTTTAGCAGGCTGATTGTTGTGGTTTTTTCCCACTACAGTTTTCTTGTTAAGTTCAGTACTTGTATTACCTTTATTAAATTTGTATAACCTTTCTTTAGCAGTAGTCGTAATTATAAGACTTAAAGAAGTCATTGGACTATTAAAAATATCATTTTATTATGTCATTGGTTGTGGAAAGTTTAGAGGATAAACTGACCAGTAATCATTCCATTTAAGTGAACATACATTTTTTTAGTCACTACTTAAAAGAATATGAAAATTGACTTTTGAGGGAGAGAAGATATTCACCTTTTAATAGTTCACTCTTCATTTTGAATGCCTGATAGAACATGTTGGGTAAAATATTGTAAAGAAAAAGCTACTTTGATTGATTGATCCTATAATCTTTGTCCTTCTAACAAAGGTGATTGCTTATTTCACATTGAAAAATAATTCAGGACTTTTAGGTTGTAATGCTTTAGTTAGATTTATCTGACAATTGATTTAAGCTTGAGAAATATTTTCGCAGGCCACATGTTTTAGTTGAATGATAGGCATTTTTATTAGTTTGATTTTAAAAAGTAATCTTTAGTTTTGGTATAGATTATGAAATGTGATGCTCTTAGTTTATACCTTACAAGTCCAACCACCCAAGTTGTGCTAATGGGTTCTTCTCCAATGCCTCCTTCTCCCAAAAGAGGAGAAAAAAAAAACTTACTATGCACTGTCTGGTGAGTAATTTGGAGGATGTAAAACCCAATTTAATTTTAATTTGTCTTTTTATGTAATGTCTGTCTCAGTCCTGTTTCACCAAACTTCTTGAAAAATGAGAAGTGTATTTTAACAAACGATAGCACTATTAAAATGGGCTCTGTGAAGAAACAGGAAAGAGTGTGTGGAGCTAGCTGTGGGATTACAAATCGGGCAGATGCGTCTCAGGAGGCCGGCACAGCAGCTGCTTTTTAAACCTTTTAAAGCTCGTCTTATTTTATGAAAATGTATATGAACCACAAAAGTAAAATGAAATGAAAGTGTGAAGTGCTAAATGCAGCTGCTGAGAATAGAATAGGGCTTTGTTTTTCCCCTGGGAGCTCTTGTTGGTTATTTTCTGTTTTATTTTTCCAGTTTATTTTCTGTTTTATTTTCCAGTCTCTGTTCTAAAGAACAAAAATGGCTCTTACAGTCTAATACCTGATTGTGCCTTATTTTTCATTAGCTCATTAATGGAAACACAGGTCAGATTGATTACCTGACTGAAGCTCAAGTGAGTTGCTGTTGTTTAAGTCCAAATCTTCAGTACCTTGCATTCGGAGGTGAAGATGGAGCCATTCAGGTATTCAGTTCTCGTCTGCGGAAGCATTCTGAGCAGTATAGTTTTTATCTAAAATTAAGTAGACACCTGGCTTTGTAGACTTACATAGTAAATAAATCTTTCTATGGTATATTAGTCATTCCTCTGTTAGGTTAAACCTAATCTTAGAATCCTGTTGTATATTTTTCATATTGCTCTTGCTGCTCTGTCTCATGCTTTTTGTCTTTTTGTGTTCCTTATTCACTGCCCAGTTGTCTTGCTCTTCCTGAATTATATTAAGCACTGTCAGAGATTTAGTCAGGCAAAGAGCATTTTCTTCTCTTCTTAGAAGCTCGGCCATACAGGGGTATAAGCTGTTGCCATGTTGGGTCTGATCAGGTTCGTTGAGCATTTCCGTGTTGGTACCTTATTACTCACCTCACCAATCTTTGCTGTCCTGCTTTTGGTATTAGAAGTACACCTGTTTGCCACTTGAAATCCTTAATTTATCAAATAAGATTAAATAAAAATCAGGTTGAAGGAAAAAGGATAGTATAATGAAAATCATTTTGGGAAAAAAGTGATTTCATCATGAGTGAAATTCATCACAGAAGCATATTTTCTCTAGCTACATAATAGTTCAGAAAACATGGTGGCTTTTCTCACCTTTTGTCGCCTAGCTTTTTGGAATTATTTCTTAATTTGTTAATTATAGCACTAGCCACATTTATTTTACATTGGCTTCATTATGATAAGGAATTACACAAATACTCTCCAGTTGCATTTGCCCCACAAAGACGAGACTATATATATATTTATATTTTTTGAGTTTTTTTCCCCTTCCAGCTTTACTGAGATATAATTGACATACAGCATTCTGGTGGCTCAGTGGTAAAGAGTCTGCCTGCCAATGTAGAAGACATGGGTTCCATGTCTGGGTTGGGAAAATCCCCTGGAGAAGGAAATAGTAACCCACTCCAGTATTCTTGCCTGGGAAATCCCATGGACAGAGGAGCTTGNGAAATAGTAACCCACTCTAGTATTCTTGCCTGGGAAATCCCATGGACAGAGGAGCTTGGCAAGTTACAGTCCATGGGATCGAACAAGAGTCAGACACGACCTAGCGACTAAACAGCAACACTGCGTATGTTATCATAAGTCATACAGCATAATTATTTGATTTACATTGTGAAATGGTTATCACAATAAGTTTAGTGAACATCTGCCATCTCATGTAGTTACAGAATTAAAGAAATAGAAAATTATTTTTCTTTTTTGATGAGAACTCTTAGGATTTACTCTCAGTAACTTTCAGGTATAATATACAGCATTGTTAATCATATTTATTATGTTGTACATTATATGTCTTGTACTTATTTAATGCTTATCTACTTTTTTGATGTGAATTTATTTGACAGCCTTTTTGACATAGTCGTTATGTTTTGAGTTCTACTTTTCTTAATCTCTGCATTTGTCATATTTGTCATAGCCTTTTTTTTTCATTTATTTTTCTTAGTTGGAGGCTAATTACTACACAATATTGTAGTGGTTTTTGCCATACGTTGACATGAATCAGCCATGGATTTACATGTGTTCCCCATCCCGATCCCCGCTACCACCTCCCTCCCCATCCCATCCCTCTGGGTCTTCCCAGTGCACCAGCCCTGAGCACTTGTCTCAGGCATCCTTTAGCCTTTTTAAGTCTCCTTAGTGCACTGCCTTCCAGCCCATTCATACCCTCTTCTCCTTTACCTGTCTCTCTCACCATCCTTTATCTTTCCTTGTCTGTGTTATTTTGTAAAGAGATTGCCTTGTCTCTCATTGCGGATATTTTTCTTTCTTCCTTCTCATCCATCTTAAATGTCATTTACTTTTTGGTGGCTGAGCTTAGACTGCCATTGTTTGATGAATTGGGTAGCTGAGTACTCAGAAGGACCACTGGTTCCCACTGCTATCTGGTTATTCCAGTGAGTGTTTTTTATTTTATTTGTGTGTGTGCACGCACAGATTTGTTTGTCTGTATTTGTGCTATTCATTTGTGTGTCTTTAGTTAAACTGAAAGTACTATGAGATGGAAATTCTGTGCCCTTCTGTAGTTTTGATTTAATATTTTCAGAGTGTGATTCAGGTGTTGCTGAATATCCTTGTATTGATTTTCTGTGGTTTTCTGCTTTGTAGATTTTAGAACTCCTGAACAACAGAATCTTCCAATCCAGGAATGGGCACAAGAGCACTGTTCGGCACATCCAGTTCACAGCTGATGGAAAGACTCTTATCTCAAGCTCTGATGATTCTGCAGTTCAGGTGAGAAGGAGGTTGTGCTCCTAACGTGTGTAATGCTGACTTCAACAAGGGAACACTTTGGTTGTAACTCAAATCCAGCACATGTTTTAAACTTTCAGTTGCCTTTGGGATTCCTTATGAATGTAGGCATAGTGAAACCCATGTCTGTTTTGCATTTTTCTGTGCGTGAGGCAGGCAGTTTGACTTGGAGCCCTCTACTGGGAGTCTGTTTACTTTGAAAATCAAGCATTCATTTGAATTCTCCCACCTGTATTGGTGTTTGTATTTGTGTCAGTATACTTTGTGCCACATTTATGTAATTTTTGTTTATCTTTCTTTACAGTAGTAAAATAGAAATTATTTTAGATTGAAATATTTTCATTGTTTCCTTTAAGAGTAAGATATTTATTATAGGGCTAAAATCCTGTGAAAAAAGAATTGTTTACCATAACTAAGGATTGTGGGTATAGAGGCCTTAAGCCTACTGTATGTTCTTTTAAAATTTATTTTTAATCAAAGTTCCAGTACATATACTTTTAAAACTCAAATAGTACTACAAGGCTCTTTAATAATAGCAGACTCCCTCATTTCTCTTTCTCTTAAAGCACTGCTTTTAGCTTTTAGATGTTTTTTTTTTTATTTATCTTCATGCCCCCACAGCACATGCTTATAGTGCTGCTTCTTGATTTTTAGCTTTGACAATTTATCTATTGAATTTTTCATATTAAGATGAAGATTTAGCTTTTTTCTCCTCCTGCTTATCTCTAGCGTGTGCACCCACCCTATTGTCAATCCCCCTCACCCCAACACAATCACAAAAACATTGTGTGTAGGTCATTGGTGTCACTGTTGAGATTAGAACAAGTGTACTGTGGGTGCCTTTTCTGCCTTAGTGCAGTTCAGGAAACACTTGCTTGGCTGTAGTTGGAAATTATTTTACCCTAAAACCTTGAAGACAATGTTCTGTTTTTTTCCGGGTTTCAGAGCTCATGTTGAGAAGTCTGAAGCCATGCTGATTCCTAATCTTTCTCTTCGGAAGGTTTTAGGATCTTCCGTTTGTCCTTAGAATTGTGAAATTTCATGATGGTATCTCTTAGTGTGTTTATTTCGTCCATTGTTTTGGACTTTTGCTACCTTTCTCAGTTTGGAAACTTATGTTTTTCAATTCAGAGAGGTTTATTTGACTTATTTCTTTGACACCCCCTGCCTTCAATATACTTCTTTTCTCTGTTATTATCCCTTATTCAGATATTGGATCTCTTGGACTGATCATCTGATTTTCTTTTTCTACATTTCATCTTTTTGTATACTGTGCTCTATTTCCTGGAAAGTTTCCTCAGCTTTATCTTCATCCCTTTCTTTGAGTTTTTCCTTTGGTATATTTTTAATGCTGGAGAACCTTTCTATTTTTATTTATTCTTTTTGAGAGTGCGTATGTATTCTTGTTTTGTAGATGAAATATCTTCTTCTCTGAGGGTAGATGGATATGTAAATAATAGTGGTTTAATCGCTATGTCTGACTCTTGTGACTCCATGGACGGTAGCCTGCCAGGCTCCTCTGTCCATGGAATTCTCTAAGCAAGAATACTGAAGTAGGTTGCCGTTTCCCCCTCGAGGGTTTCTTCCCGACCCGGGGATCGAACCTGGGTCTCCTGCAATGCAGGAGTCTTGCCTGCATTGCAAGACAGGCAAGTCTTCTGCATTGCAGGCTGATTCTTTACTGACTGAACCACCAGGGAAGCCCAAATAATATATAAATGATACAATATATGTTAATATAATTTTTCTGTCAAGATATAATTTTCCTTCATAGTTGTTCTTCCTTCCAAGTTTTTTTTTTTTTCTTTCTTTACAAATATATTTCTTTGTTTGGCTGTGCTGGTTCTTTGCTGTGACACATGGAATCTTTGATCTTAGTTGTGGCATGTGGGATCCAGTTCCCTGACTAGGGATTGAACCTAAGCTCCCTACATTTGGAGTGTGGAGCCTTAGCCACTGGCCCACCAGGGAAGTCCCAGCTTTTATTTTCTTTTTGGCCTCTTATTTTAAAGTCTTTCCTCAGCTGTGTGGTGGTCATCCACTACCCAGAGATGGATGCTAAAATGCTGATTGGGATGCTCTTTGTTGACTGAGACCTTCTCTGAAAGGCGATCTGGATGGAAAACTTTGTTGTCTGCGTCTTTAGGTCTGTCTTGGTCTTGTCAGATTCCTGGAGAGGAATCTCCCGTCTTCTGCCTGGAGGGTGTAAACCTTGCAGACAGGCTCTTAGAGCTAAGGAGGTGGGGGAACTACAGGTGGTACAGTGTCTCAGTGTTTAGTATACAGGCCTTCACCATTCCCCCTGTTCTCACAACTGCAGTCCCACCCTCAGCTGTCCTTGAATCCAGAGAGTCTTCTTTCTAGTTTGTTTTAGGAACGTTATTCTGCACGACTTTATTCTCTTTTTTTTCCCCCTCATAATGACTTTGTTTGACTTGTTTTCCTTTTACATGAAGTCAGTTTTCTTGAACTCTTTGAAGGAATGGGAAAGGACAGCATCTCTAGGTTCACAGCTCTGCAGTTTCTTCTTCTGTTGTTTTCCTAAAGCATTACATATTCAGCCTTGTTCTGATGAGATCCTTTTGTTCTCTCCCCCTCCCTCATTTTCATTGAAACCTCTCCTTTCCTTTGCTGCCTTCATCCTTGTTTTGCTCACTTTGAATTCTATTCCCAACAGTTCCTCCTCATTGTAGGATTGCCCCAGTTTTTTGATGTTTATTTATTTGGCTGTACCAGGTCCTAGTTGTGGCATGCAGGATCTTTGAGTTGTGGCGTGTGGGATCTACTGGTTCCTAGACCAGGGATGGAACCCGGGCCCCCTGCATCAGGAGTGCAGAGTCCTGGCCACTGGCCTACCAGTGGCCCTGTACCGTAGCCAGCCTGCATTCAGTGTCTCCTGCTGTCCCCAGGGGTCCTTCGCCCTTTGCAGCGAGTGGCACTTGGCACTCTCGGGACTTTCCTGGTTTTGGGTTGTGGAGACTCCGCGCTCCTCTGCTGTGACCTGTAAAGATGCTGGCACCGCATGGGTCTCCCAGCTTGGTTTGCCCTCACTTGTGTCCTGTGGCATGTGATGCTGCTGCTCACTTAGCATCTTCTTGTTGCTGCCGCCTGTGCAGTTTTGGATTTGCTGTCCAAGTTTTGTCTGCTCTTAGGGGAGGCTTCAGGGAGCTCCCCAGACCACTGCCGTCTTCCCACGGCTCCCCATACTTCTGCTCTTAGACCTGCCCTCATTCTAACCTCTTGATGAGCTTTTGGTGACCTCAGTTCCTAAGCACTTGGGGAATTCTGTAGTGTCAGTTTTGTTGCTTTTGTCTTTCTGATGCTGTTAGGATTCTGTTTTCCTGGTTCTACAAAGCCAGTTACCATTCTCCTGCTTTACAGTCTCTGTTTTGTTATTTTCTTTCTCATTCTCTTGACTTTGTCATTTTAGTGGGGTTTTAGAAGAAGATAAATGCATATGTTCAACAGAAGTTAGTATGTATTCTTTTATATGTTTATGTACTTCCCGCATGTGTTTATACTATTAGAAATTATTTTGGAAAAAAAGTCTTTTGTGTCTTTGTGAGTCCTGTATGATTGGAATGAGGTTTGCCTTTAGTACAGAGACTTACTCATTATGGGATCCCATGATAGCAGTGTATTAGCTGTGAAACTCAGTGTAATATTCACTTTTCTTCCTCTCCAGATGGCTTTGAAATGGGTAAAACTAAACTATATCTGATGAAATTCAGCTGAGACATTGTATGCTGTATAGCCATTTTGTCAAAAGCTAAAGCCATAGGCTTTATGACCTGCTTGAAGATCAGATGTTCTCAGCCAGAGGGAGAAATAATATCTACGAATATTTTTAGAATCTGAGTTAAGTTATTTTTAGAAATGAGTCGTGTTTCATCCTTTCTTTCTGCTCTACTCAGAATACTTTTTACATTTAAAATGTTTTAATGTGTATACATTCACATAACAAAATTCTTGGTAGGTATGTCTAAGAATTGACTGGTTGGGTTTTTGTTTTAGTTTTTTAGTGTTTTAGTAAATAATCAATTGGAGGTTTGTTTCCCCCATCTGCCAGCTTTATTGAGGTTGAATTGACAAAATTGTGATATGTTTAAGACATATAATGTGATGATTTGATATATGTATAGATTGTGAAATAATTACCACCATCAAGCTAATTAACAAATCTGCAGATACCTCACACAGTCACCCTTTTGGACATTTATTTTAATCACTTTTGTATCCCCAGTGCCTATGAGGTAGTAGGGATTTGGTAAATCTTTGTCTCGCTAAACTAAAGTTATTGCCAAATTTTGAAGAATCAGCTCTCCTGATGATAGCACCTAGAGCTGTGAATATTGAGGTCTATTTTGGTAGTTTTTGATCTTTTTACCTGGATGTAAATAAAGCCCAAGTAGTAGCTGTGTTCACCTGAGATTGAGAATATGTTGATTCTTACAGGTGTAAAAGATTCTTTTGCATTTTAAAACACTTAAATTTATATAGCTGAAAAAATTCTAGTGTACATCCATTGCAAAAATTACAGCTAATGGTAGAGACATAGCCGAACTCAACCTTTATACATTTGACTAATGTTGGTAGAAGTTTAGCTGTTATATAAGATGATTCGATTAACACAGGACATTTAAGTCCAACAAAAAAGTATCTTTGTCATCATTGCCTTAGTAGAAAGCATCTGCCAAAAAAAAAAAAAAAATCTGCTAAGGCTAGTCTCTTCACCCTCAGCGATTGTCAAATGCTTTGTTATGTCTGCTCAGGAGGGCTCTCTGGCTTCTTGATGTGGAGGGTAGCAGTAAGAACCTCAGTCAGGAATGAACACTGAGTCAGACACAGCTGGGAATGGCAGTACCAGTGAACCAGGAGGAGCTGTTAATAGAAACCACTGATCTTCTAGTCCACTAAAGCCCAGAAAGTTGAAAGGAGGGAGCCAGAAACCTCCTATGACAATGGTCCAGGGTATTTTATGTTTAGTCACGCAGGGTACCTTTTCTTCTGATATGATCTGGGGAGCCAGAAAGCTTCTGTTTCTTCCCCCTCACCTTAGCATATCTTATTGAGCTCTTAAAATACCGAAATTCCCAATTCATTCTCCTCAGAATTACTCTCACTTCCAGCTCCTCTCCTAAGGTCCCTTGTTCTCATATAAGATAACCACAAATGGGCACTCAGAGACAGAAAAGATGGAGGTTTCTGAGAGCCGGGGCGTGATGGAGGTGGGAGGGTGGCTGCTAAAAGTGGAGGATACAGGAGTAAAGAAAGAGGGTAAGAGAGATGTAATTTCTTTTATGATTTGGCCTAAACCTGATACAAAAAGCCTCAAAGGGATTTCTACTGTTTAACCTTTACCAGTCAGAAACTAGACCCAGAATATTATTAATGTGCATACCTGAGATGGTGGCTGCTTTTTCTTTATCTTTTTATCTCTTATGTTAAAAAAAAATAGAAGAAAATTCTGTGGGAGACTGACTAATGGCATGAAGCCCAGAAGTCTAGCTTCAGGCTCTCTGGGCTGCTTCTTAGCATATCTTTCCAACCTTCTTTCCCCGCTACTGTTCCTTCTAAATTCCCTGTACTCCAGCCAGATTAAACCGTGAACAGGTCTCTGTAACCTTTCCACCTTTTCCTGCTCCTCTGTCTTAACTCAAGCATTCAGAATGTTTGTTTGAAATGCCCTTTTCTGTTTGTGAATCATGATTCCAGTTCATTTCTCAAGCTTACTTCGAATGCCCTGTCTCCAGCATTGCAGTCTCTTCTCTTTCCCTTGTGTCTGAGGAGTTCTTCCTGGAGTGCCATGTGAAAAATAATCTATGGTATCACTTGTCATTTTGAAGATTGTATTGGGGGCTAGCTAAGATATCTGAAGCTCAGAAATTCCACGACCTGGTTTGAAGGTGCTCTGGTCAGTGGACTTTCTGAGGCAGCAGGACCAGTAGGATTCAGTAGTTTCATTTGAGCTGGAATCAGGGCTTGGCCTAGCTTGTGAGGTTCAGAAATCTGTGAATATGTAATGGGGATAATTTTCTTTGGAAAATTTAATCAGATGGTGAGCTCACTGGCATGTTGTGACTTTTCTCTATCTTCTGATATAATTAACTGCTCTCCAAGCAACTGAAGGAAACAAATTTTATTTAGGAGGAAAAATATTTTATTTTGCCCTTAGTCAAGTTAATTAACTCCAGCTTTTCTTTCTCTGTAAAATGGGGTTACCATATTATTATTTGGTTCTCATCTATATTTTACTGAAGTGCCATGCAGATGAAAGACTTCAGACAAGGGAGTGCTTCTCCTGTACCCTTCTAATGGGGTATTTTCAGAAAAGGGTTATAACAGACTTATTTCTTTGGTATTCAGATATGGAATTGGCAATCAGAGGACCCTTTCTTTCTCCAAGCCCACCAGGAAACAGTGAAAGACTTTAGACTCTTGAAAAATTCGAGACTGCTTTCCTGGTCATTTGATGGAACAGTAAAGGTAATTTGTAACAGACGTTTCTTTGCTAAGAAATACTCTACTGTTGTATTGATTATACAGTGACAGCCAAAAGCAGATGGCTGATATGTAAATACTTAAATTTTTAAATTTCTAAAGTAGAAATGCCTGTTTTTTGTTTACTGCAGTCATCTGCATCTGCTGTGTGTCTATGAACATTTGTACTAAAAGGCTCTTAAAGAGGTTAGAACAACCAGTGTGCCTAAAGCTCTTGTTTTATAGCTCTCTTCTGGCTGATTATGCTCAGCAATACAAAAATGTTCTGAAAAGTGTCAACTTCTGAGTTTTTCTTTGAAGGTATGGAATATTATTACCAGAAGACTAGAAAAAGACTTCGTGTGTCACCAGGACACAGTTCTTTCTTGTGATATTTCCTCTGATGCTACTAAGTTTTCTTCTACCTCTGCTGACAAGACTGCAAAGGTAGGTCAATGGGGTGAAAGGTGCATGCTTAAAGCTTGGGTGTTGGTTATGTGTTCTGAGTCCAGCTCATGTGTAAAATACTTCCCTGGTGCCTCAGATGGTGAAGAACCCATCTGCAGTGTAGGAGACCTGGGTTTGATTCCTGGGTTGGGAAAGTCCTCTGGAGAAGGGAATGGTTACCCACTCCAGAATTCTTACCTGGAGAATTTCATAGGCACAGAAGCCTGGTGGGCTATAGTCCATGGGTTTGCAAAGAGTTGGACATGACTGAGTGACAAATGCTAACTAATGTGTAAAAGAGAAAAATAATATTCTGTCTGCATGTCTGTCTCTTGTGAATTTTTGGAGGATGACCATTGGCATTTAGTTTGTACCAAATATGTTAAGTGAGTGACACTGAGGACTTTTGATTTCTCCTTTACTGATCTGTTTTTGTCTGTTAGTAATCAAAGGCAGCATCTACTGCATATTATAGGAATAAAAAGTATTGAAAGAGATTTACATTTAATTGTACACCCACAGTTAAATTTTTTGTAATCGATGTAAATTGATGCTTCTGAAAATCATGTTCCAGTGAAATGATGCTGCCTGCTTGGGGACACTGACGACTCCATCCTATTCCTTTTTCTCCATCTTTGTTAATGGCATTATTATCTGTCCATCTTTCCAAACTATAAACCTTGGAATTGCCTGGGACTCTCCTGTCTTCTGTGTTCTGTTGATTACTACTCAGTGTCTCTTGGATCCTTACTGTCTTCCTTTTCCCCACCCCTAAGACGGGGCTCTCCTCTTTTATTGGTGGACCTGCCACTGTCTGCGCCTCCTCCAGTTTATCTTCCCTTCTGCTGCTCAAGTGCCCTGTTGAAGCTCCTCTGAGACTTGAGGAGCCCATATTCTTAGCCCATCTCTGTCTCTTTCTGCTAAATTGTTCCCTCTGTGCCAGACTGCTTCTACTTCCAGCTTTTTGTGCACTGTTATCTTTGGCTCAACTTGACCTTTTATCCTTTTTTATCTCAATGCATCTCGACTCATTCTTTTAGACCAGCTTTTGAGGTCAGTTCTTCAGTGATCACTTTCCTGGCCCTTAGGCAGGATTAGCTGCTCTGCCCTCAGTGTTCCTATTACATATTCTCATGTTAATCATTTACTTCATACCACTGTTCACTCAGCCATTTATGATTAAACTAGAAACTTTTCAAGGACAGGGACTGAATCTGGTTATCTTTGTACTACCAGTTCTTTGCTCAGTGTCTGTAACATGTTTTCAGTATGTGCTTGTTAAAATATTCCAGGGAGAATACTGGAAGGAAAAGAACAGCATCTTTCTGCCAAGATAGTATGTTGGTTATAGGGATTATAGTAGGGTCACGGTGGAGAGTTCTGACAAATGTGGTCCAGTGGAGAAGGGAATGGCAAACCACTTCAGTATTCTTGCCTTGAGAACCCCATGAACAGTATGAAAAGGCAAAAAGATAGAGGACACTGAAAGTTGAACTCCCCAGGTTGATAGGTGCCCAATACGCTAATGGAGAACACTGGAGAAATAACTTCAGAAAGAATGAAGGGATGGAGCCAAAGCAAAAACAACACCCAGTTGTGGGTGTGACTGGTGATAGAAGCAAAGTCTGATGCTGTAAAGAGCAATATTGCATAGGAACCTGGAATGTTAGGTCCATGAATCAAGGCAAATTGGAAGTGGTCAAACAGGAGATGGCAAGAGTGAACATTGACACTCTAGGAATCAGCTAACTAAAATGGACTGGAATGGGTGAATTTAACTCAGATGACCATAATATCTACTACTGTGTGCAGGAATCCCTTAGAAGAAAAGGAGTAGCCATCATGGTCAACAA